GAAGGGAAGGGGGAAGGGGGGAGGGGGGGGGAGGGGGGGGGGGGGAGGGGGTGTTGTGCAAAAGAAAAAAAAATAAAAATAAAATGGAGGTGGGAATCGATTTGGACAGTACGGGATACAAAATAACTGGGGGCGATAATCATCGCCATCACTCCTCTATCATGTGGTCCCCACTTAAGATGACACGTGGCGTGCGCATAGATGCGACATCCACGTGTCATTGAGGAACACAACGTACGATCGAGACACCAGGCGGCATGGCATCCAATGGCAAATTGTAAATAATAACAATAATAATAATAATAATAATAATAATAATAATAATAATAATAATAATAATAATAATAAGACAAGTGGTTCGGACTGGTTCCATTCCACACCAGGATCCAGTGCTAAAAGAGAGAGAGAGAGAGAGAGAGAGAGAGAGAGAGAGAGAGAGAGAGAGAGGTGGTTCGATGCCACACCGCGACCAGAACGTCCACGTGATTAAGAAAAAAATCCCATCAGCGTCATCACCATGGTCATCGTAAATGAAAACGCAAAAGAGAGAAAAAAAAAAAAAAAAAGGGTGCTTCCGCATTCCACAATAGTGCTCTCCAAAAATACCTTTCTCTGCCTTTTGGCTAAAAATAGATCAAGTCCGACTACGGATTGAATATATATATACGTCACAATATATATATATGATGAGTCGGTGAAACTCCGACGAAACAGTTTGTCACAGCCCCTCGTTTGTTGTCCTCTTCTCCTTCTCCCTCTCTGCCTACGGTTTACCGTCGGCAGTTCTATTTGTGACGATATATATATTGTTGTCCTCTTCTCTCTCTCTGCCTACGGTTTACCGGGCAGTTCTGTTTGTGACGATATATATACAGAACTGCCCGGTAAACCGTAGGCAGAGAGAGAGAAGAGGACAACAAACGAGGGGCATATATATAATTATAATAATTAAAAAACAACAGTGCGCTCCCCCGGCACCCAGTGATCCTGGCCGCCTCCACGCAATAGTATTTTTGTTTTTCCCTTTCTCCTTCCCAAAAAAAAAGCAGTTCAATTCAATTCAAAATAGGGAAAGTTTAACGCCATGAACCAAGCGAAAAAACAATCCTGTACAACACCTGCCCACCTCACGCTCAAAACCTCAAGATCCAAAATACTGCGCAAAAATATTACAATACTAATATAAATCCACTACAGAAAAAATACGAACCTCAAGGTTCAAATGTTACTTTTAAAAAATAGAAGATTAAAAAAATATATAAATCGTAACGATACACCTGCCCACCCGCGAGAGAAGAATAAGAAAACGAATAATATAATAAATATTAATCCCAACTTTCTTCAACAGTTGACTACATCCGCATCTTTTTAAAATCGACGCCAATCATTATCATCACCACCATCGTCATCATCATCATCCTCATCATCATCATCATCATCATCATCGCCATCATGATAAAAATGTTGCCTTCCCCGCTATTCACCCAGCTCTCTCTCTCTCTCTCTCTCTCTCTCTCTCTCTCTCTCTCTCTCTCTCTCTCTCTCTCTCTCTCTCTCTCTCTCTCTCTC